CCGGGGGCCGCCCAGGCAGCTGCCACACTGCTGGACCCCGGTCAGTGCGCTACGCCCCCAGCCGTGCTTCACCGGCCCGCGTCCGCCATTACGCGATTCCCCGCCCTGGACGCAGCCACACCCCGCCAACGGTCCTGATTGGCTCTCTGCCCCACCCGCCTGGGGCTTCCGGGCCTTTCATTGGCCTGAACGGAATGCCAGTTAAATAGCCACGCAAAAGACGTACTCAAGCGAACTGTCCCGGGAGCTCCACCCGAGCTACTTCCGCAATCGGAGTAAACAGCGGGGGGCAAACCAAGTGCGAGGGGGTGGAGATTACATTAAATCAACTCCTAAGTTCAAAGTAGGAAAACTCCACCTAAGAAAGTGTAAAAACTCATGCAAAGTGTATTGAAAGTCGAATTCTTTTTCTTAGAGTTAAAAAGAACCAGTGTTTTTGGTGGAGCGGAGGGGCCAAGCTCATGCACTTGCTGTGGACACCCCTCAAGTTGCGCATCGTTTTGTCTCTTCCCTCCCGGTCTCAGGTGGGGCAGAAAGTTGGGTGGAGATAGTGAGTCACTGGCTCGAACCCTCCACTGCAGGATCCAATCCGGGGGGGAGGCCCTGGGTCCTGGAACTGGGAGACGGTTCTGAAAGGCCAGGATCAGATGGCCCCCACCTAACTCTGCGACTTCAGACCACTTCCTGAATTTATCTGGGTCTCAGTTTGTCCTGCGAAATAGGAGCAGTCCCGTGAGTGGGTATATGTGCATCTTGTTGGTTATAAAAGGCTGCAGCTGGATATCCGCGTGACATTCGCAAGTTAGCAAAGATACCTCGTTTAATTCTCTAGAGCAACTCTGTAAGACAGATGGTGTTCTTGTTTTGGAGAAGAGAAACTCTATGGCTTATCCCGGGTCACCCAGGGAATTTGAAACAACTCTGGGACTCAAACCTGTATATTTTGGTTTCCTCTCCTGCATGTCTCCCTTGCAGGCCTGGTGTCCCCTGAGAAAGACTTCCCTCCCCCAAACCCTTAGCATTCCAGGGAGGGTCTTAAGGGTGCCCGGCCAGTTTCCCATCTCTCTGGTCACCAAAGACTGGC